ACATTATAAATTAAAGAAATTAACTTTTTTTTTTTGAGACAGAGCCTCAAGCTGTCCCCCTGGGCAGAGTGCTGTGGCATCACAGGTTACAGCAACCTCCCACTCCTGGGCTCAAGCAAGTCTCCTGCCTCTGCCTTCCAAGTAGCTGGGACCACAGGCGCCCGCCACAATGCCCAGCTATTTTTTGGTTGCAGCCATCATTGTTGTTCGGCAGGCCTGGGCTGGATTTGAATCTGCCATCTTAGGTGTATGTGGCTGGCGCCTTAGCCACTTGAGCCACAGGCGCCGAGCCAAGAAATTAAGCAAAAGAAAAAGATTAAAGTGTTGTTACCATTTGCTATTTGGGTAACAGATTGACCTACATCTGTATTTGTAGCATTTGTTATTCCACAGCACAAACTTGTGAAAGCCATATCTCATAAATTTGTCAGTCAAAGGGGCTATGTCTACTAATGCTTCCTGTTTCAGAGGGTGCGAACAGTTTTGGTATTAAGTGAATCTCTACTGAGGTAGTCCTGAGGTTTCCCAGGTGGAAGCTCTTCTCAGATAGAAAAATTTACCTGGATGTTGATTTCTTCTGGCCATTTCTCCTAATCCTCCAGACACTAGAGAAACACCTATCAGTTATGTTTATGGAGTACCTTCAGGGGAAGGCTATTGTTTTCTGGAGAAACAGTAATCTGAGTATTTCATTTGGACAATAATTCTTCTCCCCAACAATAGAATAATGAAATCAGGCACCTAAAGAAACTAATGAGTCAACTTTTTTTCTCCAGTCTAGCATGTAAGAGGTTTAAGAATTTGTGTTCCAGCTGTCCTGTTTGTTCTGGTACAGAACCAGATTGTTTAGTCAGAGGGGAGAGTGAAGTATTAAGAAATGAATATGGGCTTGGTACCTGTGGCTCAAGTAGCTAAGGCGCCAGCTACATACACTTAAGGTGGTGGATTCAAGTCCAGCCTGGGCCCGCCAAACAACAATGATGGCTGCAACCAAAAAAAATAGCCAGGTGTTGTGGCGAGCGCCTGTAGTCCTAGCTACTTGGGAGGTGGAGGCAGGAGACTCACTTGAGCCCAGGAGTTGGAGGTTGCTGTGAGGTGTGATGCCATGGCACTCTACCCAGGGGGAAAGCTTGAGGCTCTGTCTCAAAAAAAAAAAAAGAAATGAATATGTAGCCCCAGTATATATTGGAAAGCCTTGGCCCACAGCTTTCCATTGGTAAAGAGAAGGTAGACTACCCTTTGGGCTGGGTATCCCTAGAGTCATTGTACTAAATAGTTGGCTGTCCATAAAGGGATCATAGTCATGGACCAAGTATTACCTGTGGACAATGTTGTGCCCATCTCAGGTTGTCAGAATGGGCTGAGATCTGCATTTTCTCCCCAGAGTCTCAAGGTCAGATTCCAGTGGCAGGTGGCATCCCTTAACAAGCATGCATCCACTTTTGACCCTCAATTCCTAAGTTTTAGACTTACCTGTGCCTGGATGACTCTTTTTAGCCTTTGTGTTGCCAGTCTTCTTGCTAACATGACCTCCCAGTCTGCCTTGAGTTTTACTACTGACCATTAATTCACTCTCAAAGGAATCTGGGGTGTCTTTCTGGATCTTTTCAAGAGTCCGTGAGGAGGTTTAACACAGACCATCGGCCTCCAGTTTAGCGGTGGCAAACTAGAGCTTTCTTTAAGCCAAGAGCAGAGCAAGGCCACAGGTTTATAAAAGAGCCACCAGTGACGCAGCAGGGGAAAATCAATTTGAAACACCTTATTCGATTGAGAAAGTCACAACTCAAAAAAGGATCAAAAAAGGCAAGGAAAGCAGGTAGTCCTCCGTTTGTACCACAACCAGAAATGGTCCAGTTTGGCCATATCTTGTAAAAGAAAAAATGTGCTGTTTAAGGGTGGCAGCAGTTACACATACATACTCTGGCATCGTATCTTAGCAACAAAAAGCCAAGAGGTATGAGGAATGAATTAAAGACACAGAGGAAGGAGTGAAAATGTCAGGCAGTAAGAAAAAAGAGGCTAGTGTTTTCAATGATAAAGTTCACTCCTGTTTTTCTTTGCTTCAGTTTCAAAGGAGTAACTCATAACCTTGAGTACTGATCTCAACACCCATAACTAAGGAGATACAGCTTCAGGCAGGCAGAAGAAAATACAGAGCAGCAGATTTAACACTATTGTGGCAGACTGTTGCTGAATAATTGATGCTTGTCACTTTCAGCAAATACACAGCAATCTGATGAGGTTTTAAACAAAGTCTCAAAGCAAAACTAACACTTACTTGGAGATTCCCTTTTCGGCTAGGCCAACCTGTTCACATACAAAATTTTTTATAAATTTACATTTGCACATATTATCCCTTATGTAGACCATTTTTGACATGCTGAAGCCCTGTGTTTGTCAGAATATTTTTTTCTTAAACCATGACTTATTTTAGGACAAATATTGTTATTAGGTTTTGTCCTACACAAAATCATTCTCTTTCCTTTTAGTGTTCCTTGCCACCCATGTTTCTTCATATTCATGAGTTTATTCACCTCTTTGTCCTACATCCTGCTTCCTTCTTCCTTTTTTCCCCTATTTTGAATGGAAATGCGATCCCAGTTAAGTCTTTTCTATTTACAAAGGCATGAGAAGGAGGCCTGGGTTTTAAAGGATCTAGGTCTCTAGGTTAAAGTTCAGACTTCATCAAACAATGGAGTAGGCCAGCTGGAAAGCACCAAAAAAAATAAACAAGGCATCAACAACCAGGGAGCAGAGGGACTTCAGAGTATACTGTAGGTTTGTATTTTACCTTCCATTTTTAAGAAAGATATGAGAGGGAAAGCAGAGGGTGGCTCTAACATTATGAACATCAGTTTGTTTACTATGACACAGAGAGACAGCTACCCAACAACCAGCCTTCTCAGCATCTAAAAGTAGACCTTGTTCTGAAGCTGGAGCGTGTCTACCAAATTAAAAGAGTTCCAGAGAGTCAGAGCTGGTTCAGGGAGTTCATAGGGTCTGGAAGGCAAGTTTGATCCCCCATTTCCAGGAGAGGGAAATGTTACTTCCAGGGCATCTTTCTAGTAGTGAGGGGATGGTCCCAAGAGAGGTCACTTCCTGAGCCATTCCTGACTCCAAGAACCCATAGTCATGGTGCGGTAAGGGCTCTGGCCTGGTGTCTTCTTGCCTGACCCTAGAGTAACTCTGTCCCTGACAACCTTCTTCCCTAGTGGTAGCAACCATTTCAGAAGCTTCCTTCAGCACTGACGCTGGCCTGGCTTTCTTTTACTATATCTTCATCCCAACTCTCCTTATCAAGACTTTAAAAACCTGGTTTAATGTTCTACTTGTGGAGCCAAAGGCCCCTTTGTAAGCTTTTGAATATCAGGCCCAACTGGAGGATGGTGTGTATTGTGGAGATGAAAAAAAAAAAAGAAGGAAATGAAACAGGGGGTAGGTAAGGAGCAACATTACCTAGAAAGCAAAGAGAGTGAGAGCTGTAAGTGTAATAAGTAATGTGCATCAGGCAGCGTGAATTCAGAATGTCTAAATGTTCCATTAGCTTATATTCCTGAAAATGTACACTTTCCTCCCAGATTTTAGCACTAAAATGTCACATATGGGGAATGGATGTCAAGTGTGTGTTCCCTGGTTTTTGGTTTCCCCTGACAAAGCATCGTTACTGGTACCAACACAGTGGAACAAATGAGCAGAACAAGTAGATACAAGTGAGCAAAAGGTCAAAGTTTATTAAAGCACAGTACACTCCAGAGAAGGAAAACATCTACCTTGGCTCGGCGCCTGTGGCTCAAGCGGCTAAGGTGCCAGCCACATACACCTAAGGTGGTGGGTTCGAATCCCTAGCCC